TGAGGCAATCGTTGTCTCGGACCAGGCGCGCGCTCTCGCCGTGGGGCAAGAGCCCCCCCTCCAAGTAGAGGCTGAGGAGGGCCCCGGAACTGAAGCCGAAGCGCTGGCGGATGAGACTAATGAGATCCGTGACTACCCGGCATCTGTTCAAGTCGACCAGAAGCCAGAAGTCCATGCAGAGCGGGGTGGCTGGCGGCGGGTAATCAAATCGAAGCCGAAGCCTAACAGTCTCGGAGGCTGCCATCTTGCTCGATGCTCTACGGAAGCCGAGACACGCCACAGCGCTCCCGGGAGGCGGGCCCGGGCGGCCCTCCCCCTGGAGCCGCTCGCCGTGCGCCACCTATGGGCGGCAGGTGGCTATTACAGTCTTCGTGAATGGCAACGCTGAGCGGGGTTGGTTGAATTCAGTTCAGAGGAGGCTAAGAGGACCAATTAATAAAATCCCCTTATCCTTTCCTACCGAGAGCAATGTAGAGTGTGAATTTAGGCCACTCTCCGTGTAAACTCTCCGATAAAGCAATTCTCAGCAGTTGTCTTCTAAGATCTTAGCTAGTCTACCCAAAGAATTTTTCAAAACTCCCAAATACATTTAGTTGACAAACTTTTCATCATAGATGGCGTAAAGATGTTGCTCCTAATGTATTGCAAATATTAACATTAAAAAATTAATCACTATTAAAAATGGAATTTAAATACCTTAACAGTTTAATTCCTACCACCATCCACATTAAAACATAAAAATAAGCCCTCTTATTAACCTGTAATCAGAAATTTTACATCATTCGATTCCATTCCATTCTCCTAGTTTTCATGACAAAGATATGAATTATTATTATTATTCCCATTTTGAAGATTAAAAGTTCAGAAAGATTAGGTACCTTCCCCAAGGTCGCTGGACCAGTAAAGGACCACCCATGTTAAGATGGTTCCCTATTTCTTTTCTCTGGCCAAAAGCTCAGTGCCCTCTCCCTTCCCCAGCAGGACTCTGCCACTTCACAGAGCTTCAGATAAAAACATCTGTCCATTTATGAGGGGCAGAGGGGAAGGACAGGGAGGGGAACAGGACAGGGAGAGGCCTTGTCACATGTACTTTGTTTTTCTGTTTTGTGTTTTTCATCGTGCACTTTTGAACCAGTATTCAGAAGTATAACCTGACCATCATACAGCCCCTGCATATTCTTGTTTCCTAGCTCAGTGGGTGAGTTGTTCAGTACACCCTAAGATAAACATGACCATTAGACACACACGCGAAAACATCTCTAACACTCTTTTTCTCTTCCAAAACCCCCAGTACCCTCTTTAAAATGACTGCTGTGAAGGAGGGCAGAACACAGGGTGGGGGGCAGCAGCAGTGGGGGCCAGCTGGGCTCCTGCAGCAGGTCCTCAGCCTGAAGCTCCGGCTCCATGGGCAAAGGAACACTGTGCCCCTACTCTCCTTTCTGCTCCTTCCCCGGAGATGTGCTATGGGTGGTACTATGGGCATTGGTATCCTCTCTCTTCTTTCATGTCCCCGCTGGATTACTGGCCCTCCTCACCCCTGGGCATCGCAAATATGGTAGGTTCATGTCTGTACACTTCCTGTTGATGAGCATCGTGGGACCAATTGCTGCCGGAATCCTGAGAAGTGCAGTAATTGCTGGAGTGAACCAAGCAACGGGAAAGGAAATGATACCCTGTGAAGCCCTCGCCTTGGGTACTGGACACACGTTTTGTGTAGCGGTGGTCTCCCTTTTACAGGTTTTAGCTACTCTATATACTACTCTATATACACTTATGCTATGATGTCAAACCTAAGTTTTATAGAATTCTCCAAAAGGATACAATATGGAATGCAGTGTTTTCTGAGTTCTTCAGATGGAAGCAACTTGGATGATGGAGTAGCTGAATAACAGCATCCAGCCCTTTCTTCAATTTGAAGCTGCAGGAATCAAAGATCTTTTTGGACTCCTATTGTTCTCAACCAAAACAGATAAGTTTTGTTTTGTTTTGAAATTCAATGTAAGCAGTTTTACATGTGCTTCTCTACCCAAAGCCATGTCAACAGTGCTTCTGGGTTAGCAGAATAGACTGCACTAAATCTTATTTGTTCTAAAATAAATAAATTAACTGTTGTGAAGATGATGTTAACAACACAGAATAATGCTGATGACAAATGATCAAGAGAAAATAAATAACTTTTTATTATTGTATTTTAAAAGGTGACATAAAACACTAGAGAAAAAAGAAATATCCCAGATGTCAACAATGGTTATGTAGGATCTAACATTTTTTTCTCAACTTTCCAAAATGTCCATAATATACGTAACTTCATAAGAAAAATAATTTTTAAAAATCTCTGAAAATGGAATCCCACAGTTTTCGAGGACCAGCGGGTCGAAGCTTCAACTGATTTGGGGCAGACGCAGCAGTTTTTGAAATGCCAGGACTTTTGTTGGGGAAAGAAGAGATGGGCAGAGCGGGAAGGACGGTCTTCATGGGTATTTTTCTGTAGCGTCTCAGTTCTGCCGCACAACTGAAGCCAAATGCATTAAGCGCCTCTTCCTCTCCGCTCTGTCCCCCAAAACCGCAAAGAACCATGTGGAGGGGCCAACAGAACATGCCACCCAGAACCGTGGCAGGGGTTGTCCCGTCCGGCAGAGGGCGCCCCGAACACTGCCAGTCGCCTCACCGCTCA